TATTTTCAGTATCCAAAATAAAACACGACAACCAAACCATAAGAAATAAAAAGTTTATAAAAACCTTTTTATTTCATTTTTCATTGGCTGTTTCTACAGCGAATGACGGGAGTTGTTGTTTGGGAGCACACACAACCAAATCCATAATTAAAATGGATTATGATGTATCTGTAAACAGAATTGCCCTTTATTTATTAATTTATTATTCGATTAATTAATTAGTTTATTGCATGTCATTTATAGAGGGATGTAAAAGGTGGATTTATGGATTTGTATGCTTTATGACTTGTTTCCATATTTTGTCATGACAACCACAAGCTGTGCATTTGACTGATGTGATTTGTCTGGTGTGCATTAGTGTTGTGCCTTCAGCAGGAAGCTCTTTGCAGCAACAGTTTGTCTCCATCAGACAAATCCGAATGAGAGGAAATTCTGATGATTGTTTCTGTGAACATCATCCCACCAATAATTCTCTGTTTCCTTAGGTAGAAACTTTGCAAACTACTTTGAATAACAAACTGAGTTTACTGTACCGTTTGATAACTGGGATCAGGTGGAATGCGTGTGATTGGAGTGAAATGATTAAGAGACTTGAGACGACGTTTGTTGTGAATTGGCACTAACAAACTGAATTGAATTTGTTTATCACAAATGTGTTTGTAATGTGGCAAAATGTGAAAGGTGAAAATGTTTAAATACTTTTCAGATCATTTTAATTTCCTAGCAGATGCATGGAAATACTGCTACTTTCAAACTGAATATTTCCAGTTGAATGCTTTTGCAAGGTGCTGTGTGTTGCATTGGGAGGTTTGACAGGACAGATACCGACAGAAGACCGACTGACCTCAGTGTGATTGTAGCTTTCTGTAAAGTGTGAAATGTTGCAGAGATCAGTGAGTAACATGCCTCCATGCTGTCTGTAGGAGGTAAAGCTGATGTTTCCTGGAGCCCAGCGGATGAACAGAGGAAACCATGAGGTGGCGGCGCTGGTGCGGGCCTGTAAAGCCAACAATGTATCAGACCTGGTCATTGTACATGAAACCAGAGGACAGCCAGGTAGGCAGGCTGACATTAGCCTCTGTTCCTAGATGCTTCCTGTTGTTTTAACCAGGTGAAGCTGGAACTAATAATGAATAATGAATAAAGTCCTTCAGATTTTTCTGTCACCGTTTTAAAACAAAACAAAAAACGGTCAATGATGGAAAACAGCCTGCTAACTCAACTCCTGAAATTTGCTGTGTGCTCCCCAAGCGTCTGCTATGGAGGGACAGAAATTCATGCTTTTTGAGTAGCTAATCTTTTGAATAATGCACAGATCTAGCTGAAGAGTTATGGAGACTTTAGAGCTCATCTGGTGCAGCTGAACCAGCGTTCAGAGAGTCTTATCAGCTTCTGATCACTTCTGTTGGAGAAATGTTACCTGATTTTGAAACTTTGGCTGAAGTGCTGTTTGTAATTCTGATCTCCAGAACAACATAAAAACCCTGAGACATTTGATTACAAGCAGGTGTGCTACTGAGGTCCATGCTTACCAAGATGAAGGAGTAAGACCGGAGTTCATATTCAGTGCAGTCTTTTCATACGTGGTTACTGGGCCACAGCCAGTGGTTTTTGTCACTGTGTAGAAAAACATAACATTTATTCATCTGCTTGATGTGTGCTGACATGACGTGGATTCTCTGTTCATCTTTTTGAATTTTAATTAAACCAAATAAAAATGAAATTAAATTAAATATACCATTAATATGGTATAATATATTCAGGCATATTTTATTTTAATATATAAATTGACAGGATATTTTTGACGCCATCAGTCAAAATGATGGACAATGAAATAAATCTAGTGAAACTCTGAATTCTATCATTATGTTAGTTGATATATTTATTATAGAGACCTACAGATAACCAACATGTGTATTTTACCATCAACATGTAAATATATTCTGTGTCCTATTTGCATCCTTACCAACGTTTAACCGACTGGATGTTGTGTGATACTGAAATGATGTTCGTAGAGAAAGCCGGACTGTGACAGCAGAGCTTTAGGCATATGACTAAAACGTGTTTAGATAAAACATGTCAAAACTTTCCTACTTTAAGTCAATTTGCCAGAAAACATAAAAACTTTTCAGGGCATTCATGGCCTAAAAATAAGTTACCCTGTGGGTCATATTTGAATCTCTTCTTATTAATATGTGGTTGTTTTGAGCAATACACGTTTCCGCGGCAGGGCATCCAGGCACGCTCTTCTCGGCATAACACCTGTTTGCAACCTGATGTGTGTCTGCACTGCTGTGACTGACAGCCTCGGAACATGACAGGAGGGGTCCAGGATGGATCTGTCTTTTCCACATTGAAACTGCAGTCTGTGGGAGTTTCAGCCAGGCAGAAACTACCACAGTGACCTGCAGGAATTGTTAAGAGAGACCTGAACTCAGCTGTCCTGAGCGGGTCAGGCCACCGGGAAACATCCCAGAGCGCCCGAAGGCCGACCCACGCTGTGTTTAAGTGTTTAGCCGATTAAATATTTTCAGGATGCTATAATACACAATATTTCTTGTTTAACTCAGCATGTCTGCATCTATTAGAGAGGCTTGTGTTATATGACTGACATCTGATGGATCTGCTGGATGTTCCTGTATGGTTACAGATGGCCTGGTTATTTGCCACCTACCGTTTGGACCCACAGCTTATTTCACGCTCTACAATGTGGTGATGAGGCACGATGTTCCCAACATTGGCACCATGTCTGAGGCCTACCCCCACCTCATTTTTCACAACTTCACCTCACGCCTCGGCAAAAGGGTGAGCGCTGAGCGTGCGCCGCACAGACTCTGGGGATATTGTCTTACATCTCTTGTTTGTGCATAAAACTAATTAATTGTTCTTGTGCAGGTGTCGAATATCTTGAAGTATCTGTTCCCAGTCCCCAAAGACGACAGCAGGCGTGTCATCACATTCGCCAACCAGGAGGACTTTATCTCTTTCAGGTCAGTGCCGTGGAAAACATTGTGGAAAGTAAAATACAGCAAATAGATAAATAGACAAATCAGATTTTTTATTTTCTTTCAGGCATCACACCTATAAGAAAACCGACCACAAGAACGTAGAGCTGACAGAAGTAGGACCCCGGTTTGAAATGAAATGTAAGTATTGGTGGCTGAGTCTGGTGCTGAAACAGCAAACAGTACCGGTTAGCTGGTTCTTAGCAGACACATCAGCATTCTTTGAAACTCCACACTATCTCCTGAGGTCTCAATAAAATATCTGGCTAGTTCAGCTAATAAATGGTTTCATGTTAAACTAGAGCTAAATCTTCTCTCTCAGGGAGAAAACAGTGGAGACGTTTAAAGCAGATTTAGATTGTAAAACCGTTTCCCAAGTGTTGAACATCTCACAGAGCTCCGTCAAGAATAAATAAGGACAAAACTAGTTTTAGTAAGTGCCTCCTTAGCATGTCATGGTGACAAAATGTTTGGACACCTCTCGTTTAGATCAGAGCATATCCATGAGTTAGAATGGCCTAGTCAAAACACAGGCCTAATTCAAATCAACAAACTGCGGCACAGTTTGAAAACTGATGTGTTCAGATGCTCTCAAAAATCAAACTCTTTCCCAAAGCAAAAGGAGAACCTGCAAAGTACTGAACAAGGAAGCTGAAAACAAATGCAAGCCAAACTTTTCAGGTTTTCATGCATCATTTTCGTCACAAATATCCCCTATTGTGTTGCTCTATTACATAAAATCCCAAGGAAGTACATTGAAGACTGTTATTGTAAAGTGATGAAAAGCTGGAATGGTTAAATGGGTTGTGAAAGGTTTTGCCAGCTCTCTGTTCCTTTGGGTTTTTCTGGGTTTTAGAGGCTAATGTTGACAATGGCCACTTATTTGGACAGAACATCCCTAATATTTTCCAGATTGTTTTTGTGCTACCAGAACTTTAGCATTAATTGGACTGTTATTGTCTTTAATAAAACATCTGAACATCCAGACCAGAAATAATGGAAAATAATCCAGAATGTAAATCACTGGAAGGAAATCCTAAAAAGGGTCATTATTTCTTTCTTACGGGGGCAGGATACGGTACGGTGAAAATGTATTTCCTCCTTATGGCTTTCTTCTGTTCTGGCTTTTTTGTCACATTTTAATGTTTCAGATTATCAAACTAATGTTAATATTGGATAAAAATTAACTTAAATATATGTTAAAAGCATTTTAAAAATTATTTTATTCTTTAGAAGATAAAAGGTATCTAAACCAACCAGACCGTAGATGAAAAAGTGATTCCCCCCTCATTAAATCATGAATGAATGACAAACAATTAAACTACATATTTTAGAAATCAAAGCTCAATTTCACACACTTTAATTGCTCCCAACCTGTAGAAGCATTATTGTTACAAGTTAATCTCTTTATCTGTTTAGTGTACATGATCAAGCTAGGTACCCTGGAGAACGAGAGCACAGCAGAGGTCGAGTGGCGTCATCACCCCTACACACACACAGCTAAGAAAAGGAAGTTCCTCAGCGTGCAGTGAGACCAGAGACATGAACCGGCTACACCATCTTCACAGATCTTCAGTTCCATTTTGGGGTTTAGAATATTATGATTCATACTTTGTTAGAGCAATCTAATATAAGTAAAGACATGATCATCAGTTATAGATTTTTGTAATGTATATTGAAAGCTCCGTTAAATTGAGCATTTCTTTCAGGCATCCCGTTTGGTTAGATCCTTTGTGGTTTTTACTTTGCATTTATTCCTTTTCTAAATAAAATATGTATCATTTGTGTCGTCTTGTTTTATTTGACCTGTGATGGGAAAATAACTGCGTTTATTTAACATAATTATTGAATCCTTTTATTATTGTTAAAATGTAATGGCATACGCCTACCTTGATATTTTGCGCTCTAAAATGAGTAGTGTCAGTAATCCACTGACAGCACCCACCTACCACATGCCAAGCCTGCGATTGTCCAATGAAAAAAACGCGACCAAATGAACCAGCCAATGGGGACGGAGCATTATGGTGGTTTTTCCGCTTTCCCCGAACTTCTTGACAGATTCGACTTCAGATTGAGAGCATTCAAGATGGCTGCTACAGGTAAGAGTTGAACTTTTCTATGCTAATTATTTGGGAACACCGCGGAGTGAAGTGGTCTCGGTGTTACAGTCGGGATTATATCCCGACAGCTGTTCTGTGGTGTTTAAGGTCGTCTGTTAGAAAAGTGTTAGGAGGAGAGCAGAGCAGAAGTGAGTAGCAGACTGACGCCGTGGTAAACCCCCCACAGGTTGGCTAACATTAGCTGACTAGAACTAGCATCAAAGTGAGCTAGTCACTGAGGGAGAGGATAATCTCACTCAGCACAGCATTTAGCTTGTTAGTTTGTTGCTCGAATTTAGAGGAGTCGGCCAGTCCTATAACTTTGTTTCGCAAACCTAGTGGTGCCGAAATTAACGTTTTTCCTCTTTATTGTAAAACCACTTTAAAAGTTATTGGATGGTTAGCTAAACTAGGCTGACTGACGCCCCCGAGAGAAACATGGCCTCCCTAGTCCCTAAACTGGAAATGTCAGAGCTGCATAGCAGGAGGATTCCATGCTAACGTCAGCTAGCATTAGCATCTTTTCACAACTAGAGTTGCTTTTAAACAGTGATTTTAAGGCTCATTCTGGAGGATTTCCTCCCGTGCTTAGGTGAGCTTCTGGGAGTTAGTCCAACTCTCAGCTGTACTCATGTTCTCTTGTCACACAAATCTAAGCTGTCGTTGACACCGGTGTTTTTCACTTAGTCACACTTCAAAGTCTGAAAACAAATTTATCCTAAAAGCCGAGACTGACTACGACTCTCACAAGTTGCTATCTAAGAACCGGCGTGATGCATAGACTACACTAACATGTTATGGCTTTTATGAAAATGAGTCAAAACGTTAAAGCTTCTGTTGAACATGAGCTCTCGGGAGACAAATTGTCATCGTTATGCAAATGCTCCGTTTGGCCAGTTTTGTTTAGCTCACAATGTTTTTATTACTGATAATAAACTGCTATTAGTTACTGTTGGGGAGATGTAGGTGGAGATGCTGTAGAATAATAATAATCAGTAATAAGCCCTCGTGGGGTTAATCGTGCTTGTCAGTCAAGAGCAGACCTGCTGTTTTAAGTAGATGCAGCACTCGCAGTTCAAAAATATAATATTCACGGGAATGTTCTAAGAATAATAAACAAAATGCAAAATATGTGAACAGCGCATGGCAATGATGTATTTCTGATGTGGATATGTAAGGTTTCATATATGACATAAAAAAACTATTAAAAGTTAAAAAGTCAAAGTCAAAATGTACTAAAGAAGACATCAAATATAAAGCAATACATGATAGGAAGTATTGCTTCCACAGTGTTTATTGTTGTGATGTAATCATAGATTTATGCTATAAAATGCCGATACAGTTTTCTTTTTAGTGCTAACAAGTATTTTTGCTTTAAGGAAATTATTTCTAAACAAATCTAGAAAAGTCCTACAGGTTAAAAGACAGATTAATTTATGCAGATAAAATGAAACTATAAAAATAATCCTGGAAGTCTCCTTTACCAGATGGAGCTCATAAATGTTTGTTTCTTAAAAATAAATTTTGCACACCTGGAAAAAACAAATTCAACAATACAATTTTTTTTTTTTCCACAACAGCACTTTTGAATTTATGTGCGCTGTGGCCAACTTAAACTATGACAGAAAACTTATCAGATTTACTGTTCAGTTCTGAATGGTTACTTTAGAATAGAATGTGTTTTCAGGACTCTTACTGATAATTGTGAGGCTTGTCTATTGGAAATATCTACATTTTTTTCAATATTTTTCACAATTACAGTTTCTAGCAGGTTGTCAGTGTTAACATTTCATCCAGTGTGGGCTTTAAAGAGCCACCCAGATGGGTAAATATGATGTTACACAGGGTCTGAATTCCTCAAACATGAAATGGTAAATGCCTTTATTTATTGCATTCAGTTTTTCTATTGAGATATTGCATGATTGCAATGACCATTCAATATATTGTGCAGATGAGAAAGTGCAGAACTGTACAATTTAAGAAAATCTCATAATTGTGATATTATTTCTAATTGTTAACGATATCAGTAATTATGAATCCACAGTTTGCCTCATCTGGTCTTCCAGCTCTCTTCTAGATCCTCAGCATCTATGTCACTTGTGGACATTTACTCCATCCAATAGGCTTAATATGACACCTTTATATCGTCCTATAATATTGCATTGCAATCAGTCCTTTGAGATATTATTTGTGCACTGATGTTATGACAATATATTCAGGATTGTTTAACCCTAAAAAGCGATGTCACACGATGTGTGAGAGGCAAATCCATCACACTGTGACCAGCAGAGTTAGTAAACGTCCACTCCGATGATCAGCTGTCAGGATTTCATGGAGAACAGAGCTTCTTCCATTGGTTGTACTTCCTCACTGCCTTTTTAAACACCTCAGCGATGCTCAACATGTCTTCCCACCATAACTTCATCAACAGACAGTGTTGCTTCCAGGGTGACCTGCTGGCTCTTGTATACAGTTTTAGCTTCTCTCCTGCCTTGGTCAAGTATAAAATTATCCGATTCTGGTTGGCAGCAGATTTCTTAATAATACTAATACTAATAATAGTATTAATAATAATATAATAATAATAATAATAATAATCAATTTGGTTTATAATGCCCTTTAATGCAGAGGGCTCATTCACATATTGATGATTGTAGCTATCAGGTGTGAATAAAAAAATAAAAAACTTAATTTATTTTCATAAAGATTGAGAACTACATGATGGGAAAGTGATTTTTTTTAAACCACATTTGTGGATCTTAATCCTTCATTGAAAATTCATCAGGCTTCAGAATAGCATAAGGCTGCTTATATTTAGTTATAAAACATCGAATGTGTTGGTTATGACTCTTGGTCTGTATGACTCTTCACTGAAAACTACTAAGAACTATATCAAGTAGAAGTTGTAGTTACTCAATCTTCTGATATTTTGAACCTTGGAAATGATCAGTGGTAAAATAGAAAGTCGAGACATTTCTGTCCGTTTCTCTTCTTTTAATCATGCCTTCATGATGAAAAAAAAGAACTCAGATGGAACAACTGGAAATATTGTTTACTGAAATAATCTCCGTCCACCGCTGTGTTACCAAAACAAGACTTGTGCTGGCGTATCTCTGACAGCTGCTGGCCACGTATTGAACATTCACTGAACTAAATGGTACACATTTCCTGACACACAGGCATATATACATGTTTATTTTTGTAATTGTTACATAAAGTTTGGATGTGCGTTTTTTTTCCCAGTTCTATTTTATCACCTTTGCTGAACTTGGCTGGTTATCACCACCAAGTTTCTGTTTGAAAACACCCTCTTTTTACACAGTTTAATGAGAACTACATAGAAGAGTTTAAAGCAGCCCTATCCTTCCCCCACCTGTTGCTGTTTACTACTGGTCAGCTGGCTGAAAGGAAACTACACTCCTGTTTTAAACAGAGCTTTTGCATTTTATCTCAATGCTGTAAAATCGCTTGTAATTTTGCATCAGATGTTCTTAAATATTTGGTTATTGTCTAACTTTTTACATCCATTGTTTTTGCCAGTATCAATAACTTTTTAAAAATGTATTTGATTAATTTCTTTTTCTTGGTAAACGATCTAACAGAAATCAGTGCATTGTAGGTTTATCTGAGATAGGGTGGTCAATCAATTAAAAATATTTAAATTATCCATAGTTAATCTGTGATGAATTGAAAATTTTTAAAAACCTTTTTCATGTTTGTAAAAACATTAATGTGGACAATATATGGTGATGGTGTATTTCCGCGAATGGAAAGCCTTTGCTAATTAAGATACATTTGAAGTAACACAGGATTAACATGTCAACTTGGAGAACAATAGAATTAATTAAATAAATTAGTTGACTTCCTAACAGTGTTAAAATGTCTTCAGTTTAACGGAGAGAATCATGCAGAAACCCTGGTTCTGTCCAGCAGCTCACTGCAGCCTTTTAACCAGTTCAGATCTCCTGAATATTCCAGAATATTCCTGATAATCAGGGTTTAAGATTAAATATCAAAATAAACATTCTGCTTGTAATAACCTGTTGGGTATGTTTCAGCAGCAGCATTGAATTTAAAGCAGCTACATTATGCTAAACTTTGGGTTTTACATTTTGTGAAGCTAAAATATAAAACTAATGTTTTCAGTAGTTGCATCTAAACTGAAGTGTGTGTGTGTGTGTTTTGCAGGTCCAAAGTAACAGCCTTGCCCACAGCCCCCTGTGCATGCAGCTCTCTTAAGGTTGCAGCATCCTCAGTTGTGTGCCCCCCACCCCGTCCCCAGTCCTCCTGCTTCTCACCATGTCCTCCACCTCCTCGTACTCGTCGTCGGGGGAGACCAGCCCGGAGGATGTACCCCGTGGTGGCGGCACCATCCGAGTCTACCTCCCCAACAAGCAGCGGACGGTGGTGAGTTGTCTGGCTCTGCTCTGATCTACTTTATTCAAATCAGTGCATTATTCAAGTTTTTTTTTTTTTATGCTAGCTTTATTTAGTAAATGAGGAGTGAAAATATGCTGAATGGTGTTGGGGTGGCTGCTGCCAGTCACATTTCTGTGGAACAAGTGATGTGTTTGTTGAACGTGTGATTAGTCACACAGAAGTTGACATCTTTCACAACATTACAGTGAGTAAGCTAGTGGGCAGCTGGTGTCAGATGTCACAGATGGTGCCTGGAGCTGTCCTCCATTTCTCTTACATTCAGATAGCAATTTATTCTTTTCATCCTTTAGCTGCAGTGTCTCATTAGTACCCGTTTTTCTTGTTTTCTCCATCCGTCTTTAAGTTAGCCAGGCAGTGCCTCACAGCCTCAACATGTTTTGTATTTTAGCCTCCAGAGGTGGGATCACAACTAGGGGTGCACCAATAAATCGGCCCCGATTTCCTTAATTTTGGGAGATCAGTGATTAGCCGATGCTTACATGTGAAGCTGATCTTTTCCACTGATCAGATCTATTTCAGCAAAGATCTAAACATCAGCCACTGTCCCCTTCTGCTCTGCTGTGAGAGAGATTTGACTGACAGACCAGCCCATCAGGACGGACTGTGAACATGTCTGCATGTTCACAGTTAACAATAATCACCCCAGTCTTGCCAACTCAGCAACTTTCTTGCTATATTTAGCAATATTTCATACAAAAAAATCAGTATTGGCCAAATTTGATTGAGCAGATCAGGCTTCAGCGATCGGCCAGAAAACTGCAGTCGGTGCACCCCTAAACTTCATAGCTCAAAGGTTTACAACTATGGTGTGAAACTTTATCTACATGTCATCAGGGAATGTTCAAACAGAAACTTTTCATTACATTTTTATGTTGCATTAGCTGTTTTTATAGTAGCTAGTGTTGTCTCTAGGTTTGTTCATCATTGTGGTTCAGTTGCCTAGTTTCTTTACCAGAGAGTGAATTTCACTCTTTACCTCTTAGCACCAGTGTGAATCTCCATTTTTTTTTTATTTTGAGTTTCTGTGAAGGACTCACAGTCCAGACAGTTTGACTTCACACATCACATCTTTTCCTCAGTATCCCTGCAAACATTCAAAATATCAGCTTAAAATGACCATGTTAGATTGTGAGGGATTAGAAAATACTAACAATTTTCTAAAGCAGAGAAATTGTGAGATCGTCTATGAAGTCCAGCTCTATGCTCTTTGACTATGTTCACACTGAAGCCTGAAGTGAGCCAAATCAGTTTTTTTTTTTTTTTTTTTTTTTTTTCCCTTAAAACACCCCCTTTTAAATTTTACCAAACAGGCCAAAAAACAAAAACAAATTTTTTAACCTTTGCC